ACATTTGACAGAGCTCTCGCTATTTCCATCCACTCTCAGCTGAAGTCCCAGGCCTGTTTGCCGACGTCTTTCAGCAGAACAATGTCATGCGTTTTCAGTGGGTATAAATAGCAGCTAAACTGCATCCAATATTTCTTATTTTATCATAAATATACAAAATCACTCTAATATAAAACGTTTTATCAATGTCAGTAAAAATCAATTAAAATTGACAGCGAGAAAAGCTCTCGGAAAATCAACTACGAGTCAGTCACCTTTATCACGTTCAAAACGACTGCCGTACGACCAGGCAACCGATGACGTCATTGGTTCGCGCGGAGCTCATGCACAAAGCGGTGACGTATCCGTTCTCGTTCCGTTCTCGTATGCGCATCTTAATCTCTCTATTATGACGATTTACCGAGTTAGTCTACTCGTTGTTTAAGGTTGCTATTAATATTTCATGTGAATATTAAATGAGCAGTATTTTTTTTAGATCAAAATGATTTAAAATGCAGATTGACCTTAATTATTAGTAATAATGTCGCGATGTTGTTTTGAGCCTCAATGCATGACCAGACACACGCTCTAAATATATTAAACCTAAATAAAAACCAAGTAATACGTCACACATTGACTGTCTTGTTACAGATACATGTATGGCACGATGGTCCAGAAATTCTACCAAGGAAGGAGTGGGATGCATGGGATCCAACACTAGTCGCAGAGGCTGTATTTGCAGTGGCTAATATATTCAGGTTAGTACACGCTATAGATTTAAGCAACAACGCAAGCATGTTATATCCACCCCCGCACGCACATATCCATGCGCTCTGTAACGTCGATTACATCACCAATATATACGTACGTCACACATACGTCACACGACAAGACGGGACTATCAAGTTCGTGTAATATGTATATTTACATGTCCTGACAAACAATATTTTGTTGCCATAGTGACCTAACGGTATAAATTATTGTCATGTTTTTTCTTTTCTTTTTTACAGCACACTGCGTATGTTCTACCTATTCACGGCGAACGCGCAATTGGGTCCGTTGCAGATATCATTAGGTAGAATGGTCGAAGATATCTGTAAGTTCCTGTGCATTATAGCTCTAGTGCTGGTCTCATTTGCTGTTGGTCTTAATCAGCTGTTTTTTTACTACAGTACAACGGATGTGTTGAGTGCTGCCGGTGAATGCATCGGTGTTACCTGTCAAAATCCTAATAATGCATACAGCACGTAAGTTAATACACCAAGCCTATAGCGTTAATACAAATTATGGGTATTTACTGGAAGACTGTAGGATATAGATGACATACGTAACACATATGTAACATCACAGAATTGATAAAGTCATTCTATTTAGCTGCGTAATTATTAATATTTCTGAAAAAAATGGCCGTCCTTCTATACCAAAATATATATTAATTGTGTTATAGTGGCAATATATCAAGTGATATACCCAGAACAATGATGGTTTGTTGCTATGCCATTATGCTGTTTTTATGCCGAATTGTATCTGATAACGACGAGATAATACTGAATATATGCGCTATATCACTTGATCGTTGACATACGTGATAATAACGATCGAGAATTTTGTAACTATCACTCGATATCACTTTTTGGGGGAGCTAGATGATATGAGTGATGTGATAAGTACTACGAAATGGGTGTGCATTTCATACCACATGACCAACTCTAGTGGATACATTTCATGTTCTGACATGTTCTCATCATACGCGACTCCTTTGCTGTGTACAGCGACTGCACGCATGCGTACTGGCGCGATGATATTCACAAATATAACTATTTGGAAGCATTCGATATAATGCGATATAATAATTTCACTCTGTCATCTTATTATACTAATATAGGTTATATAACGCAGCTGAAACTTTGATATGGACGATATTTGGATTAGTTGATGTCAGCAACACCCAAGTGACTGGCGGCCACCACTCGTTTACAGACTGGATTGGCGCCGTTATGATGTCATGCTATTGTATTACCTCAATTATTGTCCTCATTAATATGCTAATTGCTATGATGAACGTGTCCTTCCAAAAAATACAGGTAAATAATGTATTAAGTTCATATCCTGTCCAGAACACAAAATATTGGATAGTTTGTATATATATTATAAATTATGCGAGATTTAAAATAGCGGATTACAAATACGTGTGATTATTACGATAACGATTTACAATTTCCATATGGATACAGCATATAGGTTTCTTCGGGAATGGTGTACAATCCTCAACAACCATAGTGGTTTACAACACCAAATCTACATATTAATAGAGCCACATTAAATTAAAAAACTACATATAAATACAAAATACAAACACACATACAACATAAATACAATCTGTATATGAATACAACCATGATCTTTTACAATATGCATATACACACAACTATAGTGGTATACAATCTCAATATGAATACATGTGTACAGCCATATCAGTTTACAATCAGTATATAAATACAATTGTAGCAGTTTACAATTTTTATATGAATCATGCAACCATAGTAGTTTGCAAATTTAAATAAAACTGTAGCGGGTAAAAATTTTTTTTACAAAGACAAATACGTGAAATTAAATCTGCGGTATAAACATGAATAACATATGCAGTGTATTGAATAGGCTACAACAATGACATAGATCTGTATTTTTACCATATTGATTGTATTAATGACTTATTACTGAACATTGAAAATGAACTGTATATGAGTTACAATACATATAAGCGTTTGAGTTATTTGCATATCAGCACCTTATGAAATTACACAATACAAAGACAAATAACACTCATACAGTAGCTTATCTCACAATGACAAAACTAAATATCTTGCACTGACACATTTTGAATTGTTCATAAAGAACAAGGCTGACGTGGAATGGAAGTTTGCCAGATCGAGGCTCTGGATGAGTTACTTCGACGAAGGCGGCACATTACCTGTACCACTGAATATAATTCCAACACCCAAGACTCTGTATTATATTTTTCTGTGGTTCAAAAAGAAATGTTGTGGTCGTGTGGAGAGACTCAAACGAAGCGCTACGAAGACCACACGGGTATGTGTCAAACAATGCCGGGAGACTATCTGTTTTTTTACACACTGGTAACCAATACTATCACACTATAAGTCAATTATTCTCACGTTACTGTATAATCACTGTCTTCCAAAGATGAATGTATTACTGATTGGTGTACTGGAAGGGTATTCTCTGTATTGCATATCAATGTACTCATACCACATAAGCTGCCATGTGTATCGCCCGCCTCGCTTCGAAATGTTTCCTTCAGTAAACTAATCGCATGTACCCAACGTGACGTAACGTGATGTATTGTAATACAATGTATTGTACTATAATGTATTGTACTATAACGTACTACTGTAGTGTATTGAACGTACCTTACTGAGGTATTGTGTTGTAGTCTGAATGCTTGTTCAGGCCGGGTGGACGTCACGTGACCGTTATCCCATGTTAACGTAGAAACCATTGTTGTCACCCTCGCCAGCACAATGAATACAACTGATAAATTCAAACGGAAAAATACTAACACCGAAACAGCTCGGAACAACTGATCTGATCCTTGCTCTTCAGCGATTTTTATCTAAAAAAAAACTAAATTTGAGCGGCGCGCCCTCTATTCTACGCAAGATGTTTTGCTCATTATAGTCAAGCAAGAAAGAGGACGAATATGCGTTGATGCCAGATGGCACACTTTTTTGCAGATTTGGCTGATTTATTTAAAAACTGTTTGATAACTACGTCCACGGACTCCAAGTCGTATAGAGCATTCTTAACGGGTATAATTCTTAATCGATTTAGGAGAACATTTTGTTGATCCAGTAATAGACTTTCAACTGATGTCTTAACAATCCAACTGTTATTAAAATATGAATCAATATTCAAGGTTTTCGAATAACATAATCTTACTCACCTTTTTTGATGACAGATTTATGTACCATAGTCAGAACTCTCTCAGATAACTCCGCAAAGATAACATAAAGTGTATAACCTTGTATGTAGAGTAGTATATGGCACATCAGAAAAAAATTACATATACGATATATTGTATACTTAGTATACAGTTTTAATTAGCGTGCGATCCAACATAAGCAGAATGCAAACTATAGTAACAACCGTTAGTCAGATAGTTTTTTAAAGTCATAATTAGATCACGTTTTTGTAATAATATATACGATAAATGACTCGCGTATTTGAATACTAATTCTACATTCACTGTGCTATGAGTTTCTACAGGCTTAGCACTTTTGTCTGCCATATTTGCCTATCGCTCATATGATCTGTTTTCTTTCTAATCCTCCCAATCTGCACTTTTATCTTCTCACACAATATGTACGCAGCCTGGCGACCAGGTAAGCCCCTCAACCGAGCAATGCCCGTCTATTATACTGCATGCTTGGCTTAACTCATGCATGCTTGATGAGAAATTGAGCGCATTTCGCCAAATTAAAACGCATGGAATGGTGATGTGGGTGTGAAATCGTAGGGTAGAGTTTTCTTGTATCCTGCTATCGGATAATGATCGTGTGCTTCAAAAAGGATATATGTGCTTATCGGGACAGAAACACTGTGAAGTGTAATAATCAATTTAATGCACTTGAAGTTGGTAAAGAGTGTATAATTTATGTGAAGTTGAGTTATATATACTTTTTAAAATAATAATACCGTTTATGCTTATCGATTATTGTCTATTATTTTGCTAATATGTTTGTATGTATCACGGGGCGTGATAACGTACACATCCACACGACTATATTCTTTTTATATTCACGATATTCATGCGTTGTGCGTTGTATTTCATACACCACTTTACAAAGTATGATATTCTTATTTAAATTCAATGCACCAATGCATATCTGACATTATTAAGCAATCTTTTGCATGGCGACAGCAGGAGCCTGTATGCATTGAACGAACACAATTTTGTTTGTTTGTTTGTTTGTTTGTTAGATTCACCACATACTAAGGAACACCGTGTATACATATTGTGACATTTCCAATTTGAAACCAAATACTATTCGACAGATGCATTGTTCTCTCCGTAACCATAATGAATATTAAATTGGTTTCTCGACAGAAAATACAGTCTGAACGACGTGAACGAGACAAAGAATACCAGGTATTGTTTCGTGTAATAGCGGAAGGGTCGTCAACTGCGTACGCACGGAAATTTAGTCGTACTTGCTAATAAGCGACTACTCTCCACAACGAGGGCGTTTACTCTTAACACGATTCAATGCATGGAGAGCAACCACGATAAAAAACGCAAAGGGTCATGGGTAGACGCTTATTTGTAAACGGTGACACGCTATGCCCGTCTGTCGCATGCGCAGATGACGTCTCCCCCCGCTGCAGCGGACGTACAAGATTGATAACTTAACTCAATATATGTGAAAATGAAAATTAGCGATTTGATTTCACCGAAATGAGCAAAACACATTACTTTTCAAGTTGTAATGCGTATTCTGACATCTCTACTTGTTCAAGGACAATTTTATTATTTTCATCCACTGGATAGTTTTATGTAGCACATCTTATCAGTAGCTACAGTTGTTTTCTTACCTTTTTTGCAGGACGTGATGAGGAAACTAATAAAACGATATATCACTAATATGAAACGTGAGAACAAAGCCGATGGGGTCAGTGAAGATGATCTGAATGAGATAAAACAAGACATTTCAGCATTTCGATACGAAATACTTTCATTACTTAATCAAAGACAGGCGGGATACTGTGCATGTGGCGGTGCTAAAAACACAGTGGATGCATCTAAATCGTCGCGTTCCCTGTCTGCCAATGCTGCCAATGGACTGCCTCCCCATCTGCAGCAAGGATTCACTGGATTTGGCAGCGGTCGTAAAGGAAAGAAATACCAGTATACAGGTCAGACAGACGTGAAAAGAATCAAAATTGCTCCAATCAAAGAAGAAGATTATTCTATGCCAGACTTTTTGAAAGTTAAAAATGTGAAAACAGTAGTGAGCGCAGTGAATGAATTTCGTCGTCAGAGTATGTCATCTCAGAAAACAAGATCTAGTTCTCTATCATCTACAGGCGTACCATCGACACCAACCACTCCAAAAGCATTATGGCAGGGGAGGTTAAGCCAAACTACACTGTACGAAGAGGCCGAGCAACATGGCCAAGAACCCGAGAACACATCTATTCACCCTTTGTCTGAAGACGATAATAGCAACAGTCGTCGAGAAAAAGTATTTGCTCAACATGAAGTTTGTGGACTACCAGTTACACCGGATAGTCCACAAGGGTCGACAGGAGAATCACAAAGTACATCGGGGGTGGCTTCTCAAAATGCAAGTTTTCAGTCCCAGGAATCAAACGAAGAACTCGATGAAGCGGCACATTCGTTACATCAGCTGTCAAATCCCTCAGCGGGCAATGATGACAATATTTCTACTGTCAGCGGACTTGTACACAAGAAGTCACCCGAGAAAAAGAGCCCGATACCAATGATGAAAATGCCCGCTAAACGATCATCATTTCTATGGGGTGGTAGAAGCCCGGACGGCGAAGATGTGACTACGCGTTATATGTACAATGGACGTATGCCTAATAGCGAGCTATGAGTAAGATGCGACTACGCGTTATATGTACAGTGGTTCTATGCTAGGCAAGCTAGACTCTTTCCTCAAATCAAAGATTCACTTATGGTATTCATTTTCATATGCAAATCAACTATTAATAAATACTCATCAATTAAATATCCCATGAAAAGTATTCAGAAATTAGAAATAATTAAGATTGCAATATTACGCTTTATGAATTATGCAAAATATATTAAATAGATTAGAATTAGGTATTTTAAGCAAATATATACAATGCCTCAGGTGTAAACCAATATATTCTTGACACGCAAAACACATATTTCGAAAGATTACAAGAGACCAGAAGACAATAATTAATAAGTTACGTTTTTATTAAAAGTTACAACGATGCAACTTTCTTTTCGAATTTCGATTGTACATTTGACATTGTATATATATATATATATATATATATTGTACATACGAAACTACATGTATCATTTTGAAGTATTGTAACACGTTGTTATGGTTTTAGTCGCATTTACATGTTTATTTCAACCAGTAAGGGTTTCGACCAATTGGAATTAGGAACCATTTCAGTTATCCTAGAACACAATTCCTAATTTTTTTCTACTTCGAATTGAATATATTTTATAGATTTCTGTACTGTATATGATAATCTGCAGAACTGTAAATTGTACATAACTGCTTGATAATTAAACGAAATTCACGATAATACATTCTCTAACTGACCTAGTGTTGCAGTAATGACAATACATAAAAAAGACTTTACGTTGCATTATATTGTAACACTGTCATAGTGTATTGTTTTTTTACAACAAAGGATTTTATAGTGTTAATATTGTTTGTGCGCATTGAGTGGAAAACCGCTCACAAATTAGACTTGCATACAGTCTCTTGTTGTTGTTGTTTTTTTGTTTTGTTTTTTGGTGTTTTACAATATATTAGAATAAGGGAGAGTACAACTGGAAAGCCGGGTTACCGCGAAATAAACACACACACAAATGATATTTTATTTTATTGAAAAAACGCCGAAACATAAACAAGAGACTGTATGCATATTTAATGAGTTCTATGACCATATATGGTCATCAAATATGTTGGTCAATTTTCTTTTGTCCAATGTCTTCAATATATCATTGGTTCCATGTTTGTGCTTGCAATAGTGCCTGAGATATTAGAGACATGCATATTTAATGAGTTCTATGACCATATATGATCATCCGATATTTTGGTCAATTCTCTTGTCCAATGTCTTCAATATAACGTTGGTTCCATGTTTGTATATGCAATAGTTCTCAATATATGGCAATTCTATGTGTATCGTTGGTAAATGTTCTTGTCCAATGCCTTCAATATAGGTTTGGGTACATGTCTCTATCTTTAAGAGCGCTCGAGATATTATGGATATGCATATTTAATGAGTTATATGACCATATATGGTCATCGACTGTGTTGGTCAATTCTTTTGTTCAATATATACAATATAGTGTTGGTTCCATGTTTGTACTTGCAATAATGCACAGGATATCAGAGACATGCATATTTAATGAGTTATATGACCATATATGGTCATCGACTGTGTTGGTCAATTTTCTCGTCCAATGTCTTCAATATAGCATTGATTGCATGTTTGTACTTGCAATAGTGTCTGAGATATTAAAGACATGCATATTTGATGAGTTGCATGACCATATATGGTCATCCAATATTTTGGTCAATTCTCTTGTCCAATGTCTTCAATATAGCGTTGGCTCCATGTTTGTATATGCAATAGTTCTCAATATATGGCAATTCCATGTGTATCGTATTTAGGGCCCTCCCCCTTTCCCATAATGCATCATTGCTGACTATTTTATATAAAATATGAAAAAGATTCATAAATCAACTCTTCCAAAACTGCTGGTCGCACTTTCATGATTCTTTGATTAATCGGTAGTATGTATGATGCTTTTCAAAATTACAGCGTGGAATTTTGATACGATCAAAATTATGCAAATGAGATGCAAAACAATATTTCGAAAAATTCTAGAAAAAAAGTCACATGACCGTTCAACTTTTTTCGTGAAATACGTAGCTCTATGGCCAATGCTGCTTTTAAGCGAAAGTTTGAGACTCCTAGACCTTCAGAAAGGTGTTTAAATGAGCATGCCATTTTTTGCCTTAAATTCAAAATGGCCGCCGTACCACGTGACCAATATGCGTCATCATTAGGATATGCACTAGATCTCATCAAACTTTACAAACATATGAACAAATTTTCAACATATGTGCAACGGTGTTCGAATAGCGCTTAGCGAAAAATCTGGCGGAATAATAATAAAAAACATAACGATTACAATAGGTTTCCAAGACATGTGTCTTGAAAACCTAATTACGATAATTAAAAAAATCATGATGATAATAGTAGTAAACAACAATAACATAACTTAAATAATGAAATTATTAATAATAATTCAAAATGTACTCTCATTGCGGCAAAATGGACACATGTCATATACAAGTGTTTCAGTGTTGAGTATAGCCTAGTGGACACGGAGTTGCTGGAAATATTTAATGACAGTTTTATTTATGATGATAAAGCATGATAGAACGAATGGTTACCGTGTATTGGGCACGGAGTAGTCTGTCAGCATGTTCGTGATGAATATATCGGATATAATTATCAACGGGATACTGGGGTGAACCTTTGTGTTTAATGAATCCAGCGTATAACGTATGGGCTAATAAATTAAATGTAATATTGTAGGACGCACAGTGAGGTGCCCTCTACATACGTGATACGACACGCTATTGTATAAATCACTTTTCCTGCCTTAGGTTTAAAATATTGACTATTCACTGTACAGACATATATTGCCAAACGCGTCATCGATGCCATAAAATTAATTTCAGAAAGTGGTTCGACGAACGTCATATCGTGTCTCGAACGTCATTTTGTGAATGGCTTGCCGTCATTTCCCAGAAATACAAAATACATTATATTTACTAAGTATTCTTTCTTTGAAAACAAAACTCTGAATCAGGCTTCATGTCCGTAAAATTAGCTGCTATACCTAAATAATTGCAGACAATATTTTCCGTTTAAAAAAAAAATGTATATGATTGAAGAATTAAGCGAATATGCCAAACAATATTTGGTTTATGTCTGTTATTTTACAATTTCGACAGTCAGCAATTATCTAATTATTATTAACGTCCATTCATTATTAACTGCAACTGAAGAATGCATGCAGAGGTTTCTCCCTAATGTGACAATTACTCATTGAGACGCAGCTGAAATGAGTAATTGTCACAAAAAGGATCCAATTTGTTATGTAACCCTCGGTTTACAGTTTAATAATTGTTTTGTCATCAAGTTCGTTGAGGTGTCAGCCCCTTGACACCAGTAATCTACGTGTTTACTGACGGTACTTGTTTCGAATGTCATACAGTCATCTGCTGAACCCGCTGGAATATGTAATTAGATGAAGTCTACAGTGGCATACACACAATGCACATGAAGGTAGTGTTTGTTATACTACCTATAGCGTGATAACAGGCAATTGTATATGTTACCATTAAACATAAGTTGATCCCAAGTGAGTTTTAATGTGTCTGAGTTTATTTTTCAAAACGCATCTGTCTGTCAATAGAGTGTCAGCCATATATTCAATTATGAATGTATGCAGACCCTTCGGACCGGGCCTTTTTCAATCACCTTGGATTACTAGAATGTGAGAGACTACAATAATATATATTAAACATGAAAGAAGGTAACCATTAATCATTATTAATACTATTAAGGTTACATCGTGGATCAGGTGTTAATGATTGTGCAGAACAAAACAAAAACTTAAAGATGCAAAGGCTAAATGCAAATAATTACGCTTAAATGATTCTCTAAAATACTATTGAAATATTTAACAATAATGTACCTATGTATCCCTATGTACTTCAGGTATAGTTTTGTATGGGATGTCTGTCATGAACGGATCCAAAGCCTAAAACAGCATAAACGTATCTAGTTTCCACACTCTGTTGACAAATATGTTCGAATATGTTGGCCAGTTATCCAATATCTTCAACATTGAAATGAACACATATATCTATCTTTAATAGTTCTCATTATATTAGAGGCATGCATATATAATGAGTTCTTGGCCAATTCTCTTGTCCAATATCTTCAACATTGACATGGTTACATGCATCTATCTTTACTAGTTGTCATATTAGGAATATAAATATTTAATGAGTTCTATGACCATATATGGTCATCAGACACATTTGTTATTTCTCTTGTCCAATGTCTTGAATATAGCATTGGTTATTTTGAATAGTGCTCGAAATATTATAGTTATGCATATTTGATTAGTTCCATGGCCATATAGTTCTTGACCATTTCCTTTGCCCAATGTCTTTAATATAGTGTTGGTTCCATGTGCTCGAGATAATATAGATATGCAGATTTAATAATCAGTTCTATGACCATATTTGGCAATAGAATATGATGATAGTCTTCGATACAATTGACTCAATACAATATATTTAATAGTGCTCAAGATATTATATATATGCATATTTATAGAGTTCTATGACTATATATGGTCTTCAAAAATGTTAGCAATTTCTCTTGTCCAATGCCTTCATTATGGCGCTAGTAGACATGTCTATGTTAAAACACTGTTAATTCAATATGTATTGTAAACAGAGCGCTCTCATTTCCCGCAATACATTGCAAACTGTTTTTGTATGTGTGATGCTCTTCAAAATGACCACGTGGAATTGTTAAATACTAACAAATTTGCAAATGAGATGCAAGCAATTTCATTAGATCATGTGCATATGATGCTACTATCAGGGGTAATTCTTTTACTCTCGGGGTTCGCCACAGTGTCAGGGGGGAATCTCG